TATTTTTCTCCAGAAGGTTTGCTGGTTCAATGCCTTGCCTTTCTTTCTCTACTACTTTTCCTGCTACAGTCCTAAAACATCCAGATCAGGGGATCCATTTGATCAGATACTCTAAATTGACCATAGGTACTATAATGAGTGTGAATGGTTGTCTGTGGTCCTGAAATAGACTGGTGACCTGTCCAGAGTGAACCCTCACCTTTGACCTGTCGACAGCTGAGATCACCTCAATCTCCGCTTCAGATGAGGTGAGAGCGACTGCTGCCACCAACTATTTTGTTAGATCTGATCAGTGGTTGAAGTTCAACCAAAAAAAGAAGACTTTTTAAAAATAAATTTAAATTAATTATTTAAAAAATATATTGTACAACTCATACAAATTGTTTGTTCTCATTTTTAAATGACCAACTGAGGCGTTTTAAGAACTGAAGAAAATAAATAAAATGATATCATAATGTATTATTAAAACATAGTCACCGTGGAGATGTGCAACGTATGTGGTCCTGAACGTGCCCTGGGCCAGAGGTTTGGGAGCCCTGTAAAGGATGAAGCAGTAGATAATGAAGGAGTGAATGTAAAAACTCAGTATTAAACATATATGCATAATGTATAAAGTAAATGGGCTATAACTAGTGGGTTATGGTATTTATCACAAATAGTTCAAAAGAATAGTTATTAAGAAATTGAATCACATTACATTACAGTACATTTAGCAGATGTTTTATCCAAAGCAACTTACAATTTGAGTCAGTCAATCAACAATCAAGCTACAGTAAAAATATAAAATACAATAATACATAAATAATAATAAAAAAATTACTGAATGAATGACCTTGACAATGTTCTCTCGCCCCCTGCTGTATTGTCCTTGTCCTAACATCTGTGGAATGATCCGTTCTCCCCGACACCTGATGAGTGGACAGATTTCTAAAACACCTCTCAGATCCAGCACATTCTTTAAATGTCAGACTGGAGCAGAAAGTCTCCGTTTTCCTGTGGATAATTCAATTGACAAAGTCCCGTTGGTCGTGCCATGGGGCTTAGACACAGGCCAAGCGTGACCTTTAATCATGGGGACAATTAGCAGGAAGGGGAACTCATTTCATCAGCTCGCCGTTTTATTGTCATTATCCTAATAACACCTCGTACATCATGGGTAAAACCCTGTTCCTGTAGCTTTGGCCTCCTGTAATGATGAGACGGACACAATTTGTAGTGAAATGCTGGAAACCTCTTTATCAGGTCTGCCTCTTCTGAGTGTTTTATGTCTTAGGTTATGATGTAACCATTGTGTTAGTGTAGGTACTGATGTACAGAAGGTTAGTTCAGACTTAGAGTGAAAATAGACTTATGTCGCTTCTTTGAAATGGAACTCTGACTTTAGTCCAGGACTCCTTGTATATGCACGTTTGTCTCCATATGTGGCTCTGTGATGGACTGACAAACTGTCCAGAATGTCCCAACTCCACTCACCACCCTGACAAGGATCAAGATATAGACGGATATGGACAACCTATGGTTCGTGGACCAGATACGGCCTGCTTGGATTTCTAATCCAGCCTGCCAAACGTTGATAATAGTTTATCCATCTAATGGTAAAGACTGATTGTAACATACAAAGCTGAAATTTACTAACCATAAGAACAGATTGATCATCAAGATGTGAAAATAATTTAATTAAAAAAAATAAATCTATTTATCATGAGAGTTCCTAAAACAAACTCATACCAACTTTGTTTATTTTGATTGATTGATTGATTTTTTTCTATTTTATTCACCTTATTTCACACAAACATTTACATCCAACCAACACTGAGCAGGCCGGTTGGTAAAATGTTGAACCAGGTTATGGCCCGTGAGCCAGAACTTTTGCCCACCTCTGCTTAAGGCTCAACGTTTTTAATATACAGCCAAGTCTTCACGGCCCTTCTATGGTTCCAGCTGCTTTAGGACACATCAGTGCTACTGTGTACATTATACTACAATATACTGCAGATTCCTTTTAGTCTCACGCAGAGGTGGTTACAACACATTTATCCATTTGGCTGCTCTGTCAGTTTGTTTTGAGACAGTGGGTCTAAAATAGCACGGCTCTGTAGCCTGCAGATGAAGATGAAAAAAGAACAAAAACAAAATACCTTTAACTTTTAAAATGTTATCTTTTCACGTGACTGCAGTAGATATAACTTGAAATTCAACAGCAGCATCTTATTCAACCTTGACGGCAAATCTCGCTTTCCCACCGTTGTTTTACCGGTGCTGTGGATGGCTTAATTTACTGCTGTCAATTTGTGAAATAGAACTACTTTTTATTCTGCTCCATATCTGCTTTGTATGCCGTTTGTCAGAGCCAATATCCTACTTCCTCCATGGGAATAAAAGATCTGTCAATAATGCTCCCAGATAATTTCCATCTGACGGGGGCAAAACAGAGAGAATATTGAATAAACCTGATTCTGGAGCTCACACGAACAGAGTGAAAATGTTTGTTTTTTTTCGTGTGTGTGCTGCGAGTATCTTTACTGTATATGACAGTACATTTTTCTATCTAAAGCAATTTTCCTGAACCAATGGCAACGTCGTCTTTTTGCAGTGTTTATTTATTTCACACCTTGCAAACTGCACTTCAGTTCACGTGCCAGTTATGTTACTCCGTGCTGGTAATGTAGTTCAATCGTTTTCTGCAGGGAACCATGAACTCCCCAGAAAACACATTGGCAGCTTTACAAAGGAATGAACACAACACTAACATATAGAACACACATACACGCACGCGTTTGCACACGTTTGTTTTGGAGACAGTGGCTCTAAAATACTAGGAAAAAAAAAACACCTTTAACTTAACTGTTCAAAAAAGCAGAGGTCACATTTGGTAGGGTGCAGTGGTGTGCTGTGTCACAATGACAAGTAGTTCACTTTCACTTATTAACGTCCATCAACACTTCTTCCATCACCCAACCCATAAATCTCCTCTGAGGTCTTGCTCCATTTCTGGACTTTGTCCACTTCTTCTGTGTCCAGTCCATTTCTCTGGATGGTTGAGCCCAGGTATTTAAACTCCTCCTCCTTTACTACCTCTCCTCCTTACAGCTATATATTTTTACTAACCTATTCTTGTTTATACACTGAAACAGTACCCACTCTGCCATGGTTTAAACTGTTGTTAATGTACATGCTGTTTTATTTAGCCCTAGTCTCTACTTTAACAAATTAATAACAGCAGTGTTAACGTTGCTAATATCAATACAGGGGGACTAAACTAAAATAATTGACTGCTAAAATGATCAGAGTAGGAGATTTGTGTATCTAAACTGGCAACTCGCCGATGAAGCTGGCGTTTGATTTTCTTTATTGTGATGTTTGTCTAAAAACAACACTGAAAGCCGTAGCACTTGCCACGAGATGCAAATACAGTAAGCATTGTTCTACAGGAGAACACACTCTGTTCTCCCTGTCTCCCCTCCCTCTTCCAGTGTGGGTGTTGTGGCAGATTTGTCCTGATTATCCGCACACACAAATGAATCGCTGTACAGTACAGTAAATGTCATTTTCTTTCTACTTTTTTCTTAATGGCTATAACATATTTTCACACATCTCACACATCAAAAGTATTTACACTTTCTACACCCACTGATCCCAGCAGGAACGCCGCCTGCAACCTTGAAGTTACATTCCTCTGCAAAAGTCTGTTTGCCGAAGTGATGTTTCATTAATCACAGTGAAAAACCCTCAGTGCGTGACCCAGGCAGAAATGTTTAGCAGCTTAAGTCATTGTTGTTGGAGCTCCAAAGAGACGAAGTGTAGTTCTGATTAGGAGAGGGCAGTGAGAAGTACAGCTTATTTTGCCCCATTCTAATTTAAGGTCACCTCTATGTTGACATGGAGGGAGTTAATTTGATGGTGATGAAAAAGATTACCTGACTACAGTGGAACCTCGAGATATGAGCATAATCCTCGAATCATTTTTTCCCATAAGAAATAACAGAAAAAAAATTAATCTGTTCAGCCCTCTAAAAAACAACCGATGTCCGGCTGGTTAGCACGTTTTGTTTTTCTCTAAGGTCGCAACTTCGCTCACATAAATTTACAACATTAGTCTTGTAAATTAAAGTGAATTAATTGATTATTTTTCATTTGCAATGTGGCCTTATTAATCCATGGTAACAATGAAGGAGACATCATTCAGTGGACCAAACTAGATGTGACACAGTGGAAACAAATAAGGTGGATAAGGATGGATACCAGTCTCTGTGACTGCTTTTAATTAAACTAAGAGGACAAGGTAACAAATCGCATAATTAGTTCTTGCTAATTATGCGATTCAAAGATGATCACAACATCCTAACAACGGCTACATCCTTTAAACCGCTCAGTGTTTTCAGATAAAACTGAAACCTGCAGCCTCTCCAAAATTCTTCATAAGCGGATGTGTAGGTGCACACGACAGACACATCTGGAGCAGCTCGGGTTCATTTTTAGGACAAGTATTTTGGATTATACTTTTAGCATATCCTGCGCTACATTTAAAGTATACAGTATGGAGGAGTGACAAATCTCACAGAGGAAGGCGGCAGAGTCTGCCCCTGATCAATGTAATGACACGTGCATTGCATCAAACATGAAGGCGTGTGTCTAATCTTGTATCCTTGGGGCAGAACTGCAGGGCAGACGACTGCCCCCCCTACCCCACCGCCCCTCCTTCCTCAGGCCAGACCAGAGCAATTACTACTGCTGCTTCACACACAGACCTGTGTCACCATCGCAATTAACAAGCTCCGGAGGAGCCTGGGCAAGCAGAAAGGGACAGACTGTGTACACAGCATGAATGATGAGGCCTGTGGAGGAGGAGGAGGCGGAGGACGAGGAGGACGAGGAGGACGAGGAGGAGATGGATGGGAAAACAAGAGTGGATCAAATTGGGTTGCCAGCATTTTGGAGAACAGTTCATGTGGGCGGATGAAGGAAACAAGAAAATCCCAATTTAAGAGCCGTTAATGCTCTTCATCCTTCCGTAAGACAACTCACACACACGAGCAGACACCTGTCAGCAGAAACCGCCTCGGAACCAGTGCTTGTAGACACGCTGCATACTGGTTTCACTTCCATGGACCTCTGGGCAGAATATTTGGAGGCTGAACCTGCCAGGGCTCCACTCTGCCGCCCACTTCTCTTCTATAATAGATTCATCCTTGTTGAGAAGATGACTCATCCCCACTGTGGCAGAGGTGGTATGATGTGGTACAGATTCCAAAAGCAGCAGAAGCAGCAGTAGGTTAGGTTATCTCTGCAGGATGTTCCATTTATTTAGAGGCATGCTCCGTCATCATCATCTTAAGGATACCCAGCATCCTTTTTCACCGCTCACTAGAACCATCAGAATTCTAACCTATTTTTTTCACTGCATGTGACCAGTTTGATATCTCACCATCCCAATTTACTTCCAGGATCTAATCCCCGTTCAGTGCCTCGGTATGAACCGATGAACCGTTCATCTGCTGCTAATTTAATTACTCACGTTACTACACAACAGAGGGAACATGAAACGGTTGGAAGCCGAAGCTCTACAATGTCTTTGGAGATATGTAAGAAAGATGGAGGACGTCTGAGGAGAGATGGATTTCTTGGTCGGCCTTGTTTCCACCCGGTCATTGTTCATCAGCCGGGGCAGCCTGACAGCTGTCTGTACCTGCCCTTCTCTGACGGATACTGGCTGTCAGTCACTGCAGGATGGACCACAGCCTGTGCTGCCTCCTGAGATATTTTTTAGTTTTTGTATTTCGTATTAGCCTTTGTTGAACGGAAATGCACAAAAGCGAGTTAATACTCCGTCGGACGCTTTGCTTTTACGACTATGCTAATCTCACCAGCAATCCAATTCTAAATTCACAGCAAACAGAGAAAAGCTGCACATATTCCCACAGGGGGGTGATGGAGATTCATCTACAGAGGCCATAAAACACTGTGATGTCTGCTAGTGTAATAGTCATCTCTGGTTTCTGCATTTGACTGTTTGAACCAACAGTCAACAGTAGAGAAAACAAACAAACAAACCAAAAACAGGAGCTAACAATCCCTTATGTCGGCTCTGCTTGTGTGTCTAACAGAGGAAAAAAATGGATTTGAAAAAGAGCTTTTGCTGTTAGACAAGCGTTTCATTCTTCTAAATGAAACCACAACATGTCATCTGAAGCAGGACTGTACAAAATACACAAGTTCTTATAATAGTGCAAACACAAGCAGTACCAGAGTCTTTAGCACTCCCAAGGAGACACAAATAAATGTTCCACAGTTACGTTTTTGACAAGACTAAAGTCTAATTCGATAAAGTACATGGAAGGAATTAAACAGGTAAAAAGAAAAGTTATATAAATGTTTTTTTTTTCTCGTAGTTTAAAAATATGCAGGATTAGGTTCATGTGACAAAAACTTGACAGGGGGCCCCGGTCAGGAGAGGATAGATGAAGCATTCATATGAACTGAGAGAAATGACATGTAAAAGTCATGCAATCATGCATAAATGCTAAAATGATTTTAGCATTTCCTACGCCATCAATTGGGAAAAAGCACTGCAGGGAAAAGACAGAAGTAATATGACAGAAATCAATAACATAATTTAGACAAGTATGGCGGGCCCGATTAAAATGCCAAATTTTAATCCGGCCCCCTGGCCGTAGTTTGGTCATCCCTGCTCTATACCAACAACAGAGTGTGATTACAAATGCCTTTTTTGTCTCAATGATATGGTAATAACTTGACCAGTTATGGTCAAGTTATTACCATAACTGGCAATAACTTGACCAATCTGCCCCTTCACCTGCCCAACCCTAAACAGTTTCCTTGTTAATCCAAAATGTACCTTGGTCTGTGTGATTCTAACAGACGTTCTTCTTGGGTCTACCATTAGTTACTCTCGGTCAGCGCTCCATCAGCAACCATCTTGTGACGTCCTGACTGTTAGTGGAGCCTGTGAGGGGAAAAAAAAAAAAAAAAGCTTCAAATTGTCTTTGAGGCAACAGCAGAGAAATAACAGCCCCATTAGAGGCTGTAATCACCACAAGCAGGGAGTGTCACATCCTTAATTCAATCTCACAAGCCACGGAGCAATTAATTCATGTCCATATAACTGGACAAATGGGCTCTTTTTGCCCGTCAGTAGGAAATCTGTCTTACAGCTGCGCCTGTGTTTATCTGTGCAGCGTCCATGACTCCGTGATGTGGACCTGGAGGAGCAGGTGTGAGTGAGTGAGTGATGAGAGGATCCTCACGGTCTCACAGGTTAAATGAAACTGGGTAATTACCTGGAAAACAAACACACTGAGCCTCGGCTCAGGTTTGTTGTCTACGTCGTCTCTTCTTCTTCTCCTCCACGTTGGACCAGCTCTCAGATGTGGCCGTACACCGTCTCCCAGCTAATTTCAATTTGAGCGGACACGCTATGACACACACATCAGCAGAGAGAAGATTGTAATCGGTCTAGAGTTTGATCATTCAGTGGTTTTCTTTGGTATTTCTAAAGATCGATGCCTCATGTGGTTAATCATCACATACAATATAAACCAATGTGAAACCTCAGACTTCAGTGTGCGTTGCTGAGGGTTCACTCTTCCTTTGCACCCAAACCTATTGTTCCCAGTCCTATCTCGATGTGTTGCTCCTCTGAATTTTGATAAAAAAATACAAACAAATAACAACGACAAAAACAGTTTTCCTCGCTGAATTTCTCATCCGTATTCCCATCTTGTGCCGTCCTGCATCATCACAGACATGTTTACAGTTTCCGTGATAAGGTAGCCTAAGATGACAGATGGCTTACAAGTGTTATCACCAGATAAGTTACACTAAAGTCAAGTGCATATAAAGCATTTTTAACATCAGAGATGAGGAAATGACATTTTAATCAGATGTTATTATTTGATTTAGGCTTAGAAAAAAAAAAACAAGTGAAAATGTTTGACAGTCAGATCTTAGAATAAAAATAATCTTGACAGGCGACAATTCTTTCTTCATAATGTACAGCAATATGACATATTCAGTTGTAAAGAAATATTATTTAAAATGTTCAGCATTTCCCTTTTCTCATCCATGGTTCGCCATAGATCGCCTTTCTTTGTACAAGAGCTTTAGAAATAAAACATAGGTTTGACAGACAACAGTTTGGTCCATTATTCCAGAATAAACCCTTTCTAAACTGTGTGATGATATTGTCATTAGCTGCTAGCAGACAAACTAAATACTTAGCGTTTTAATAATGATGGATGTTTGCTTTATTTTTTTCATTGTTTTATAAGCAAAACAATGCCCCATCCTGCAATGCTCAAGGATGAATCCATAATTTTCAAGGACTTTTTTTTTTTCACCGACTGCCGCTAATTTCTGACCCTGGTCTCCATAAGCTAATCAATATAGAAGTGGATGATGGCAATCACGTTAGAACGAACTGCTGATACAGACACACACGTGTGGTGGTACATCATGAATTAAAGTGATGTCTGAGCAGGTCAAGGTAGAAAGTACATGTGCTCATCCGGGCAGCCATTCGTCATATGCTGCCGACGGCTCCCGGAGTTAAGAGCCGTTTCATCATAGCCACATAAGTAACCTGGCTCTGGTGGTACATTTATCAATTAATAATACGTATAAAAAAAGTCCTAGCAGAGTAGAGAAAATGTGAACATGAAATTGTGAATAAATTAGCATGTACACCACATAGACGATGAAGTAATCACATCATATCACATCACTTGCCAGTGTTTCCTTAACGTATTTGAGCCACAGCACATATTTTACATTGAAGAAATACCATGGTGCACCACCAAACAACGTCACCAAAGTACATGCAATGATAAATAGAGATCTTCTAGTTCCAATTTCACTTCTAGTTCCCAAGTCAGAGAGTTGGTCTGTTGGTTATACGTAATTCATATAGTTTTTCATCTAGAACTACATATAACAGTTATGTTATATGAACCTCAAATACTACATTAACACATTAGAAAATGCTCAGCGTATAGGAGACATGGCAGAAATAAAAGATTTCTGCCATGTCTGCCAAAGTCTCTTAATCCCAAATTTTTTTATGATAGTAAAATAGAAGATCTTTTTAACATTTCCTGTTAATGACATAAGGCACCGTGGCATCTGGCAAAAGTCTTCTCGTCCTTGTCCGTTCTGCCAACCCAGCTCATCCAGAATGACGTTGCAGCCAAATGAAGAGTGACAGGCACCACGTCGCAGATATTTTTTTTTAGTCCCAACATCTGTTGGGTTTAACAGATGCCGCCTTCCTCTTCTATCTCAGCCAGGTTCACCAGCAAGCCAGGGATGTGACTGGCTGTGGTAATTAAGCTTGATGGTAATTGATTGCACATAACTTGTGTGGAATAATTAAAGAAACCTTAGAAGCCAGAGAAGATATTAAGGAGTTTTCAAAGCAGAGAAGACATTTTCATTGATGAGTGTTAGAGCAGTTTTCTTCAAGGTCAGTTTTCTTCACTGTTACTGCCCGGGAGACAGGGGAGGTAGGAGTGGGGACAGACACAGACAGTCAAGGACAAACGGGTGTGCTCCGAGGTGTCCAAGGTGCTGCTTTCATGGGGCGTGGTCCATGGATGGTTTGAAATCATCGTCTTCCAAGTCCTGTGGGTTGATGGGATCTGCCCTCGGCTCAGGTAATCTGGAAAAATCCAAGAGAGAGAGAGAGAGAGAGAGAGAGAGAGAGAGAGAGAGAGAGAGAGAGAGAAAGCACAACAGAAGTTATACAGTCGTTTATCACGTTCAGTTCTCCAGCTCTCCATTCTGCCTGCAGGCAGCCACACAAACACAAACCACTACACACACCATCATCACTTGTGAAAATATAATAAAAGTTTGTGAGATGTAATCAGCTTTAATTTGGTTATGGCTTAAGTAGAAATGATCCATTCTGTTGATTTCAAATTAGCAGCTCTGCAGTGGCAGAGACTAAATGATGTCTTAACTGCAGAGACCTGCAGCGATCTGAGGCCGGCTAATAGATTCATTTCCACTGGAGACGATCGGCACTAATCATGTGTTCTAATGGGAAAGTGTTTGGACCGTAATATACACTCTGAATACTTTACACCAGAACTAAATATACTACACTACAATGGAATTTTGAAATGACTTTGGCCACATGATGTATGTTTGTGTGTTCAAACTGATAACCTAAAAACAGGAGCCCCTTCATCTCTACAGTACCCTGCACTGAAGTGTTTTCACATTTAATGTATGCATTAACACGTAATGTGGATGAGGCCTTTTTTGGTTTTCTACTACTTGAAGCCATATACTCTGAATGGATTGTGGTCTTGTGTCCAGCTTAAAAACATGTGACCCTTTGTACCTTCACCTACTGTAACTAAGTCATGATTGAGACTCTGCACTTCAGATGTCGGCGATGGTGGGTGAAAGATGAATGAGCTACCAAAACACAATCCGTGAAGGTAAATTAATTAATGCATTGTGTAACACAGTGTGCCCAGCCTACTCGCTCTGTGTGCAATGTCTGCATAATTGGATCACTCCATGTGTCACTGATGAATGGAGAAAACTTATCTGTAAATTCAGCTGCGAGGTTTGAGTCACGTGTTATTAATTAATTTACTGAGGGTTTCCTGCTGTTGGAAGCAACAACGTTCAGCCTGTTGTTCTAAAAAGCAATGGCTACAGCAGTCTTTGATCGACTGCCTTTTTATGTTGCAAAAAAGATAAATCGTTTGCCTACACTGAAATTCTCCAAAGAATAAAAATCGCCTCTTAACATTACCATTTAGCTTTGTTGTTTTAACAAGAGCCTAGAAAAAAAGCATTTTTTGAAAATACAGCTGCAATAAACCTAACATTCTACAATATTCTACAGTAACACTCCAGCAAAACAATTTGCAAATTTCCAAATTGGTTAACATATGTAGTTACAACTTCAATACCTAACTGTGGTACCAAACTTTGAGAATGTTCATGGAAGAACTGAACGGTGGCGTGGGAACAGGGAGTGATGACAGCAGCTCCTACTTCCTGTTCCCTATTTGCACATTTTAATGTTTCAGAACCCTATATATTTAAATGTTAAAAATTGTTGTTTTTTTAAATCTAAAACCAAGGATATAAACTTTCACTTTATTATGTTAAAATATTAACATGTATACAAATATCCAAGACCATAACAAGACCAATTGTTGGGCCTTAGCAGCCTCAGTGGGGGTTTTCATTTCTATGTAACAAACAAAGAAAATCAGCAGGACATTTATCTTTTTGAAAAACATTTCGATGCAACAACTTGAGCCAATTTCTATTGAATCTAATATTACTGAACACACAACCCATTTCAGCACTGACTTTGACGTTGCATTTGTATTTCTGTTTGTGTGTGTGTGCGTGCGTGCGTGCGTACGGGAAGCCAGTGTCCTCCTGTGTGTTTGATAAAGCCAGTCTAGCAGCCAACAAATTTATCTAAAAGTGATTTAAGGTAATACGCTGTTTGGCTTTTTGGCCTTTTTTGCACCTCGTTCCGTTACTGTCTGCATAATATGCCAGTTGACCAGTGTGTGACGTCAGTGGGAGAAAAAAAAAAAGCACTTGGGTGCAGATGTCAAACTGTGCCTTTGAATACATCATCCTGCTTCTAGATAAGAATAAATTCCAGATGAGCCAGCTGTTTTTGTGTTTTATCTGTTGAGATTTTCTCTCTCCCCACCCCCCCATCCCTATCCCTGTATTTCTTTGTCAAAGGCACAACAATCCATTTTTCCCTCCGTGATGCTGATGTTACCTGATACAGACAAACAGTAGAAGTTGTTAGAAAAATGAAAATTGCTAAATCCTACAAGGTGGCTAATAGATGGCTGTAACCAACCCTCCTTTCTATTGCTTTAAAAACACACACACACAAAAACGAACAACAGCAGTGGTGATTGTGTGACGAATACACACTGGTAAGCCTGTGAGCAGAGGCTTGTTAGCCTTTGAAGCTTTAACACAGTCACGACAAAGAACTTCCAGGTCAAGCTATAAACAACACTTTACAAGGGCACCGCTGCCGTCCACCTTGGCACAGAGCCTCCTCACCCGCTGCCAGAGGAAATGATAATTTCGGAAAGTGGGCATGCTTATGTGTAGGATTGTTTGCTGTGTAGTTATAAAATTTCCCTTAAGTAAACATCTGAGACATTAATTATTCAAATGCGTCCCCCCCCCATCCAAAGTCACCACCTTGTTCCTGGTGTTCAAAGCTTGTTTGTTCTCTGTTGTGTGTGCAGCGCGCAGGAGTCTGCATAACACTGAAACCCCCGCCGTCTCACACAACTCTCTGCATCCTCAGACAGCGTGAGTGGTAAGTTGGCAGATGTGTTCGGCAGTTTCGCCTCGTGGCTCCAGTCAACCACGACAGTCACTCTGGTCTTTTTGAGATGGGTAGAAATATGCACATATACAAATATGTACATACAGCACAACTCAAAGCCTCAACTGCAGTAAATGAACTATTTATATTCAGATGGTCTCTGCTAAGCCTTAGGACACATGGATGTATTAACTTATTTATTCCATCCACAGGAAAAAGGCCATTACTTTGCGGGGGAGCGAGAGAGACGGAGAAGGCGCCAAATGAGAAAGGAGACAAAGCTAAGCTTTAACATGTGACCAAATGTCAGTGGGTGGTGATGCATTCACCAACAATCGAAAGACCTTGCTTTGTTCTCTTTTAGGCTGATCATCTTCCCCGGCCTTCGTAAAAGATCACTTTGCTGTGTGTGCGTGTGTGTGCATGTGTGTATGTGTGTCACCACCTTTCATCCATGACTTATTCATAGGCTTTAATGCAGTCGATGAATTATTGATCAGGGCTGATCATTGCTTCCTCCCCTTGGTATGACCACAGTCTGCGGACAAGGGTGATCGCACAGATGAGCCCGGCTGCACAGGTCACTGTTTGCGATTATATACATATATATAATTTTATGAATCAATTTTAATTTTTTTTAAAATCCATTGCTTATCCAATGATATAGTAACAAGCCTAATAGTGCTACATCTAGGGCACAAGCTGGGCTGAAAAAACTAGGTTTACAATGGGCCTGTGTGCTATTTGTACATGTCTGGTGTAGTATGAGGCTAACCATGCTAACATAATGTTTATAGTAATTGTGCCTGTTATGTCTCACTGGGGGAAAACTTTAAAGACTCACATGAGGAGTTTTCCCCAGCGGGTGTGTAAACCAGCTGGGTAAATGAAGTTTTTTTTTTGTTTTTTTTTTTCTCCTTTTTTTCTCCTGGAGACACAGCCCTGCAGAGTTGTCAAGGTGGTGGATGAGAGAGATGTCCAACCGCAGCGTTGCTGCCTGGAATTGCTCCCATTGTCATGTAGCAGGCTTAGTACTGTGTCAGTGACATATGAAGAGTTCAGCTGTGTTGGTTTGGGTTTTCTGTGTGTGTGTGTGTGTGTGTGTGTGTGTGTGTGTGTGTAAAAGGACAGAAGGAGAATTAAAAGAAGAGACAATGAAAAGCAAACTCTGAGACAGTGATACGGCAGCATGGTTTCTCTTGATTAAGCAAACAAAATGAATGAGAATAGTGCTCTACACATAACAACAGAGGTATTGGAATAAATATTGCAACACCCATCCGCAGTGTTGGAAATTAATAACACTGTGTAAATCTCCTCCATCACAGAGGATGGCAGAAACCATTTCTCAAGCCCTAGGGGACAGTGAGGTTTGCTCTAATGAGAGAACATTCTTAATGGTTATTGATAGAGCCCTGCTCTTACCCTTTATTTTCCATTGAGCCAGTACACTGTCACATGCTAATGAAGTAAAACTCATCACTTCACTGCGATGATTTAACCCTACAACCAGCTTGGAGAATAGAGGTGACTGTGACATGGGGAAAATGTAAATGGATTGAATGGAACGGCTGACAGGAAGGGGAAGTGATTAAAAAAATGCGATTGAGAGAGAGGAACCTATTAAAAAATAGTCATAAAAAGGGAAAAAAAGGTTAGACTTGTGATTCTGGTGTATGTAGTGTTCGTTTGAGCTAATGTGTTGCAGATCTATTTCTCCAATGTCTTGAAAGGTTTACATTTTTATCTCTTCCGCAGCCAACTTCCTTTCCTCCCTCAGTGGATTTATGGTCTTTTCCTTCATCCAGCCCTGTCTTGGATGTGTAATTTAGAAATAGTCCCTCTTCACACCTTTCATGAAGAGCATCTCTGTGATCTTTCTAATACTTTGCACAGTAAAGACTGGAGGAGAGGGAAGAATCCACAAGTGACTTTTGAAAAAAACCTTAAAAATGAACATGTCGGGGTAACCACAGATCAGGTTTAGGGAGAGTGATGTAATCTTTGTCGAGTTGTTTGTTCCTGGCTGTGTTGCAGGCGCAGCAGAAGCAGCGTGTAAGATCATGACTCGTATGTTTTTTGGGGAATTCTTATTAACTCCACAACAGCCACAGGCCATTCTCTCCATTATCAGATAACACACTGTTTCCCCTGAAGCTGAAGTAC